TCTGCATATAAACGCGATCCTAAAGATTAGTTAGTGCGGTAAAGCTAGCAGTTTATGCCGCGCCAACACACGGTCAGGTAGGGCGTAAGCGTTTGCGGATGAACCTGTTCGAGGGACCCCACCGCTTGGAAGCAGGTCAACAGGAGACGATTTTACAGATGGCGGTATAACTTCTGTTGCAGTTTCCGCCATGTCTGCATTTACAGTTACGACTAACTGATGAGCTTTTCAAACACATCTAATTTATTAATTACTCCAAAAATTTGCTCGGAAATCGGAAATTCTCAGCTTTCTCAGTTTTATGTGGCCTAGTTGCATTAACTGGTCTGAACACTCGGCTGGATTGGGTCTCGCCTTATAGAGGTACCTAGTGCTTCTTTGCTTATTCCTAACTAGCTAGGGTTAAGAAAACAAAGTAGAATGCAAACGGAAAAATATATAATTTGGTTTGTAAAAATATGAATGCACTTAGTCGGGATGGAATGAAAAGTAACGTCTAGTCGTAAGGTCACGAAGGTAAAGAAGCGCTGATTCTGCAACCACATCCTGTCGAGCAAGATTCCCAACCACTGAAGTGACTCATTTTGAAGCTCCTATCCACGGGAAGGACATATCTACTAGTCTGACCAATTTTCTTTAGGTATTTATGCATCATCCTTGACCAACCACCATCTTGTGATTTCGCCCAACGCGAAGCAGTGACTGCGAACACTGCAAGCTGAGGGAGGCGGCTGATGATGAGTATGTGGAGAACACGATGAAACCAGTCTAACCGGTTTAAGATTAACGTGCACTCCTCAACGGACATCGGACTGCCGTCTTCCAAGCACCAACGAAAGGAGTATAGCACATGTGGAGAACAATCCGTGCGCACCCGTGATCTAGCATGACCAGTGTCTTAATGTCTCCAGTGGGAAGTAGTTATGTTTCTGGTTTACACTACAACACTATATCTACATATCTTAATAACAAATCGGGTTTTGCTGATTTGCAGTGGCTGAATACCACGACAGGTTAAATAACCAGCAACATGGTGACTAAGCTATCCAGCCCCGATTAAGAGATGCTATCCGTATTGCATCAAGACCTAGCAATTTACAGTGGAAGGTATCGTCTTCCACGCGCTGACCTCATATTGACTGGTCAGGTTATGAAGAACCCAGTCACGTTTCACATTACCATCTAGGACATGTCCACAGCACCAGTCTTAGGGGTCACCAGCTGAGACTGGTCGTGTAATTCGGCTGTATGGAGTACTATGGGAATTCTTTTCCTCCGGATTTGTCAGTCTTGGAAGAATCGTTTAGCTTGTGTCATTTGTACACCTACGTTATCGACGTTTGAAAACCGACCTCACGATGCACTACTTAATTCGCGTTTTTGGTTGTGAGTTGCACTCGTCGTATACCGACAACGAGTGTTGGGTGTCGGGTCCAGCGACTGTTTCCACCCCCTAACAGTAGCGAGAACGCGGACCAGCAGGAATGATTCCGTGTTCTTTTCGTAGGGAAGCAGCATTCTTATATGTGTGAGCTGTACGTCGTAAGTGCACTTCGTTGCCGCGCGACCCTCACCGGTGGCACGCGGACTGAGTGTACCGTGAGGGAGCCAACACCTAGGTGGATTGGAACCCGCGCCGCAGGATTACGAGACAAGCTCTTTACCACAAGACTTTGGGCCGACACATAGCATGACGCATAACTGTAAAAACCAGCCAGTGCTAAAAGCATAGGGACAGATAAATCCAACGAAGACACCAGAAAACACAGTATAATAAAATAGATTCGTTTTCTATGACAGAAAGGTTAATGTCTCTACCTTCCATAATACGCTCTACTGATCGTAGAAATGTATTCTGAAGTTACCTAGCACCTCTGCTTACATTGTTTTAATCTAATAAATATGTAAAGTAATATCCGGTCTAGATCGTAGGCAATTATATATATATATATATATATATATATATATATATATACTGAATCACATCATATACAATATGTATGTTTGCGGCAAATATGTTTAAAGTATGGCTGCTACACTCGCCTCTAACTACTGGCTGGGCACTGAGAAATGACGAGTCCGACGAGACCATCACCTGTATGATCCAGTGCCCTCAAGATGTAGAAACCGGCAGGCACCCATCATAGAAGGCGTGTACTTGTCACTGTAGCGCCGCTCCATGCCTGCAATGTCTTGGTGAAAGTGTTCACCATGCTCATCAATAACAGATCCTAAGTTCTCATGGAAAAATTTAAGGTGATCATACAATAAGTGCATCTTGAGTGACATTCAAGTACCAACAGCCCGATAGTCCGCAATGAGCTTTTTTGTGATATCTTTGTAGTTCGCTGCCTTTGTTTTGCCCAAAAATCCTGTACACACTACCTTGCATGATCGCCACGCTTCTAACTCAATTGATTTCAACTGGCTTTGGAAACAACTGTCTGCCCTTAGCCGGCCAATATCAGGCCCAGTAAGTATCCCTTCTTTGAGCCAAGCATCACTGATCATAGAAAACAGTAGTTTCAGGTGCTGAAACGCAAAACCATCTCGCTTGACGGCTTTGACGAAATTTTTAGTCAAACCAAACTTGATGTGCAGGGTTGGTAGATAGATATGATCAGGTTGCAGCAGGAGATGTTTTACACTCACTTTTCATGCAGCATACTCCGTACTCTGTGACCACGTTTTGGTTGTGTAGTGCTGTTAACTTTTTCTACTGTCCCATAAGTAAAAGAAACAGTAATATTTTGTGAAGCGTCCGTGCATACCCATTAGGATTCTAATGAGTTTGAAGTCAGCCCAGATGTTCCAACGGTAATCATCGTAGTTCAGTACAGCGAGTATCTGTTGCACCCCTTCGTAAGTCGCCTTCATATTGGTGGCATGCAAGAGAGGCACAGTTGGGTACACATATCCATAGTGGAGCAGTATGGCCTTAAGACTACTCTTCGACGAGTCAATGAACAAACGCCATTCATCGCTGATATGCCTCACGCCAAGCTTCTCCATCAGTCCTTCTACGTCGAAACAGTAACAATAGATTTCTCTGGTGTCATAGAAACCGGACAAGTTAACACTTCGGCTTCTGTATACAGTAACATCGTGTTTGCAGTAAGTAAGTGTCACTGTTGCAGCCGAGATTCTAACAACTCGGCCTTGTTTTTAGGAAGCCCAGGTCAAGTACCAACTCATTCAGCTCTGATTGTTCAATAAGATGTGGGTTGACAATATCAGCTTCAAAGTTGCACGGTTGTTAGAATCTGGTGAACTTGACAATGCAGAATCACTACTCATTATCAATGACACGTTCACTGCAGGCACTGGAATGGGTAAGGTACACTCATGCAGAACAGATCGAATGGCTGATGGGCAATGAATTATGTCCTTCTTTCGGTTGCAGTATCAAATGACACTAGTTAGGCAGAAATAACACTCTATCGTATAATCCTTCTGCAGCCATGGGGATTGCAAAGGCTATCTTGCATTTGCGCTTGAGTCACAGAGTCAGATGAAGATTGCATGAAAGGCAAAAGAGATGTGGCGCCCACTTCTTATCCTGATCTCACAGTTTCATCCCGAAATATGCGTGGTAGACAGACTTCAGTAGTGAAGAAATGGGTCTGCACTGCGACTTTGCAGTAAACTGTCCACAGGGGTAACAAAAATGAGTTCGATCATTGAAGTCGCAGCATCTCTGAGGCATGATCAAGATGTCAAATAAGGAAACAGAGCTCTCAATCGACTTTCAGTATCAGGTGGATACCATGGCCAAGAGGGCTCCTTACACACGATTCCAGGGATCCAATGGACCAATCATAAGCGAGCATTCGTTGCATGGCCCTCACTGCTTAGCTGAATTGCTGAACTGAAAATAAACTAAAACCCGACGTGATAGAAACTGTTTGTTTGCAGTTTTGTAATCAACTCAACTGGTCCTACTATAAACACGCGATCTTGTATTTGTTATGAAAATGAGGTTGAACTGTGTAATAAGGAACCAAGCAGATGCGCACGCAAAGGGAACTGATGGCATTAGAGTCAAAGTAGGACTACGATTCGAAAGCAAAAATGACTCTAAACAACTAACCGATTTAATGAAGTGACGCGTTATGAGAAACCTTAGTGAATTACCGACAGCACAACGGAGGTTTACAGGTATAAACAGTTAGTAAGTATACTTGCATTTTTGCATCCCTACAACACATGATCCACCATCTTTTCTATAAACAGCGAACATATAATTGCGTTATTGCAAATATCTTAATGGTTCAGCAGTTGTGCTGTCTACCTCGTTGACAAGTCTCTTTTAAATGGGTTAATTCACCCAAACCACCCTTGGGAGCCTGCTAAGATTTGGTATTTTGTTAGTGGTACAGCAAATATTATACTGTTCCATTCTGTTATTTATTCAAAAGTGCTCAACAGTTGGTCAAAGAAGAGTCGTCTAAATGAAAACCGGTCGATTACAAGTCTAACTCTGAAATTCTCGAAAATAACTGATAGTATGTCTGCGCATTGCGTCACGTAGACAACATTGAATGATTAATCATTAAATTATTGCACGTTCTATTACCCCTTTCGCTTACTGCGATAGTAAAATTAGTATTTCAAAGTCCAAATGCTGGGATTTATAGTGGCATCTTCTGCTGGGTTAAGGTATGTGGACAATCCCCAATGTGGTTAGTCATATCACCCCGTCGAAATAACAGTTTAAATCATCGAAAGCTACATTCTGTCGACGATACATGATCAGCATACCTGAAGATGACGCTTAACGGACCCAGTAACTGGTATACGATGGCTGCAAACAGAGTGCCTTTCCACATGAGTGTTTTTGAAAATCTCTTCACAGTGTTTACCTACCGTGATATACGGTGCAACTCCGATGAAGTGATTAAACTCTCATAGATGTGATGTCATTGTTGCATCAATTTGTTAAAAAATATTCATCAAGCAGACCGATCCCTTTCTCTCTCGTGCAGCTGGATTACGGTTGCATGATAAACATATCCGATCATACGGGCACATATCAGCGAACACTGCTGGGAGGTCAGGCGATGACAACGTTGCTTGGTTTCGGTCCAGACCGATTTCTACAAATGAACTGTGAAGAACGTGCGCGACTCAAATGGAATATTTGCCTCCATCGTTTCAAAGTAGGTATCCGTCATTAGATCTGTCATTAGATTTTACTGCTATCGTTTGTGAACGATTTTTGCCTGTCAAGAACACATTTGCAAACTAGAGCGAAGGATGTAAAACTAAATTAATGTCCATTGTTATCAATTAGCTTCGTTCGCTTCCGGTCAGCGCAATTGAACACCACAGCACGCTGTGCCACACTCACAGCCTGACAGTGAAATACACTTGCGAACTCACGATTGAAAAACGCTAGGTTAGAGCGAATGGACTGATTATTGTCCCATCGGGGCTTAAAGTAGTCTGTTACATCTAGCCAGAGTATGCGAGTCATAAAGTAGGTCAGGCTTACAACACGAAAGATTTCTTGCATAGAACATCAGTGACAGTTGAATACATTTTTACAGCCCTTAATTGGTGCCCATCGGCCATAAACTGTGACAACAGGCTCCGCGTCACGCACTCACCATGAACTGACTAGAACAAAATATCTGACTCGCAGGCTAACCACTGTCAGTGACAGTGGAAGATAGGTGATGCTATATCCCAGTTAGTTTGCAAATTATGTAGTCCAGCCAACGTCCCCAATGGCTCAGTGGCTTAAGCTGCTGGCTAGTTGGCATCTACCTCTAGCGGTCATGGGTTCGATCCCCTGTACGGCACCGAGGGAATGCGCACCGCTGACGAGCACCAATAGAGCGAAAGGCGTCTGCTGCTTTTTCGGACTAGGCTCTGCTATGTAGCATGTGAACTATCGGGATAAATACCTTACATAGAACAAAATAACCAATTATGTGCGGCTCTATGCTTATAATGCTGGATGCTGACGATCATATAGAAAAGTTGCGCTGAAGTGGGACGGTTTCTGATACATGTGTAAAATCCATCTTTTTGTTTGGTATTGATGGGGTCTCTGCCATCTGGTTGATCAGCTGATAACTTCAAGATGTTGTAAGAGCAAATTTGGTTGGTCACGCCATTCTACGAAGCGACTAGTAGCCACCGACTAAATATTCAATACATACTTGTGCGGCAGAGAGCATGTAGATAGGATTTGACCACATCTGCTTATAGAGGAATGAAAATCTAATAATCATGAGGTAGCTTACTTTTACTCTACCCCACAAATGATATCAAAGGCATTCAATAGTTGCGCTAACTAATTTCGTTGTGATGATTTCAACATCACTTTTCCGTTTTCTTTCAACCGTTAGATTTACTTTTGGACAGAGCAGGCTAGCTTCGACAGTCCTTTCCCAATGATCAGCGTCCTGGCTTGTGAAAAGCCCAACTCTTTCGAACTGGTCCAGTCTCTTCGCAACAAAATGGCCTAATAGCACATTCTACGCATCGTGTGAAGATGAATTTGTGCACTAGTGATCCATTTGTCTATCATGGTCCGAAAGAATTTTGTTATAACACGTTTTTCTCAAAACTCATTCAGTATTTTTCTAAATAACCATGCATGGGAAGTAGTTCGGTAGTTTATAAAAAGTGTGACATTTAGTGCCTATATAGAAAGCAATCTTCAGGTAGAAGAAAGTTGCTGTCTGCATTTCGTAAAAATAAGATTGAACCAATAAGATATTTCAAGCTTAGGCATCAGAAATAAAAGTTTATCAACCAGCTCCTTTTCCATAGATCCTCATCAGGCTAGTACACCACAAATTAACAACATAAATGTAGATATCAGAGATGAGTACAGGTCCATTGGCTTAGATGGTCTGAGTACCCAAGCTAAGTGATTGGTCCCAAAGCGGTCATGGGTGTGATCGCTTGGTCACAAACATTAGACATAGTCGCTCACCAACACTGCCGCATAAACTAAAAGCAAAGCAATTTTATTACAATTCGGCTTCTTAACAGATTACTAGAATCAAACGATGGCCGCTGGTTCGAGTACTACCCCCTACCCATTGAGGGGACTACTGCCAAAATCCAAAGATTTTATTTGCTGTTTCTCAACAGCAGGGCTGCTTCTTTGAGCCATGAGACGGATGCTGTAGCTACGCGCCATTAATGAATTTCGAAAGGACAAGCTTCCCTTCTTCTGTGCCAATCACGCTTTTGCTGACCGTCTGAGTGTGTTAGCTTGTGCTAAATCTCCTTGCGGATGCATCGAACCCTCATCCAACGTACATACAAAAAAACAAAAGATTTTTCATCTAAAAAGCTTGGCAGTAGCTACCCATTACAAATGGTACCATAAGGTAGGTCGTCACTTGTTTAGATTTTGATTGACGCGGATACACGGCCACATGCCCAACTCCACCTCCTACCATAGTCGCACACGTGCTGCGGCGTTTCGCTGTAGTCAGTCAGCATCAGAAAAAGATAGATGTCTCCTGCTGTCTCTATTTTATTCTTCAATAAACTATTTGAATTCATCTAACGTAAAGACAGCAAACAGGCGCGCAGACTTGTTCCATGTCATTCCCTGGGGTTGTATGAACAACGATTGGCAGCAGATGCTAGTCATAAAATCAGACATTAGAAGTTCCCTTCGCATCGGCTTGGCGCCATTACGACACGGATTCTGGTAGGCACAGTAAATACATCCTTTCTTTTTTAAATGTTATAAGCTGCGCCCTCACAAGGAAGCACATTAGAACTTTCTGAACCTATCTACATACGTTAGATAGAGGTGAGAGGACTGCGAGACTGGGACCTTCAGAATGTCAGCCGAAGTCCATAACACTGAGCCACCAAGTCATAGCTGGCAACAAGAATCACAGAGGTTACTGAGCATTTCAAAATGATACTGCTAATGGTAGTTCTTGCTTTTTTGAAAAGAATTGAGTGGTGGATTTCGATCCGGTTCAAATAAACTCTTCATTTCAGCCAGCCAATCGTCGTAGTTTTAAGAAACCAGTGGGAGAGCATTTCATCACTTCGAAGCCTGTCAACGCTATGTAATTTTATCATTCACTGATGAACCACAGCCAACAACCCAAATGAATCTTCTCTACAGCTCACGTTATCGTAGTTACATCCATTTGCTATGATTATCGATTCCAAACTCCAAAGCGGAGGTAATTTGGGGTGAACCCATCACCTGTTTCACCCCTGAACATCGGCTGTCATCGTATTAACAGTTTTGAGGTTGCCCCATAAATCACCACCTTCACCCACAAGCAACACATCATCCCGGGATGTATCTGACCAACCTAAATGACAGCCAGACACAGTTTATCAGGCAAGTAAGTGACGCTTCTTGCGAAATTAGGCAAAACGGCTCACATACAGTACTGAGAAGCACACCACTTCGGCCGTTACGGCAGTTAGCTTCCTCGTAGGTTCAGGTTAAGGGCAGATAAGGACAAGTTAATCTGACAGAACACGGTCTTTCTTTCTACCTACCAGTTACAACATACATCCCTAATGCACACTTCATGTGACGTATAAGCGATCTCTCTTAAATGAAATGGGCACGCAAGCGGATTATTTATCACTAGGACAACCGCAGCGAGCGTTTCCATTGCTCAGCTTTGTTATGTGTGTATACACTCTACACCTGTGAAATCTTTGCAAAATAATTAATGACTTCTAATATTGTAGTGGCGAATTATGACTAAAGTTTCATGTTAATATCAGTTATAGTTTTGGAGAAAACAAATAGTTGTGTGCTTCCTGGGGTTAACAAACACACACTAAAAGCATTTATTTCGTATTGTCTCCTCAGTACCATTAACAATAACCGATATGCATAGATATAGCGAACAGTGGGTGCCTATTGGGACAACTCACACTGTGTATACCAATTTGTATGTGACTGCGGAAAAGTTACATAGGTAGAACCAATAGAACACTGACTTCCCGATTAAAGGAACTTGATAGTTCAGGAAGATCTGGGTTGTTCCCGTCAGGCCGAGAAAGCCTCCAAAAAAGCTAACCAACACCTTGGCCTTTTGTGGCGGGCATTCAGGTGCTTCGATCCTTCCATCTTTTCTCAGATGCTCAACGCCTACATTCGACCTCATTCTGAGTACGCCATCCACGCCTGGCAGCCATGGCAAAAGCAAGACCTTACCGCTCTTGAACTGCCACAACGAAGGGCGACCAAGAACGTCAAGGGCCTGTTTCATCTCCCTTACCGATTGAGGCTGAAAACCCTCGGGGTCTACAGTGGACAATATCGACGCCTGCGTGGCAACTTGATAATGACTTATATGATCCTGAGGAATCCAAACCATTCTTTTCGTCACCTACTAAAGCTGAATAGCAATACCACACTCAGAGGACAGCATCTAAACCTGGACACACAATACAGCCGGTTGGAATGCCGCCGGAATTTCTTTTCTCTTTGTGTGTGTCAACACTGGAACGCTCTTCCCACATACGTTGTTTCTTCCCCCCCACTAACGGTATTCAAAAGATGTCTCGATGATTCGCTTATCCACCTACATTACGCTATATAATCAGAGATGTCCACGTCAAACAAACGCGAAAAAAACGGTTCATTCGCAGCTTTTGTGCTTCACTAGTTACACACTGCTGTTGTGGAATATAGTTTCGGATATATTACAACTGCATTCATCAGTTTACCCAAGTCCAAGAAAGCGGCGCACGAGTAAGCTTTGGTCGTTCCTCTTGTTCTTAAGACATGCCTTACCCATATTACTCTACAGTAGCAATTCAGTACACATCTATAACGTTTCTATGAATAAGGGGCACTTGAATTCACTAGACGCTTAAATTGACGAGTTACACTTATTTTTACTTTCACTTCAACCATCCTACGGGACTTGTAAAGCAATCGCTTTTTTACCTGTTATATATCATTGTTCATTGTTCATGTACCAAGATGGGTTCAACGTGAAGTTGCTCAGATTGCCTACCCTCGTCAGATTCCATGTTCGCGCAGACCGCCGGCTTCCTCGATAGGCAAACACCTATTAGACTCGGGTCACCAGGTAGAGCTGGGCTCAGCGTTTCAAGTTGTGTTACGTCACACTAATCCCCGCTTCCTTCGGTTTGCTGAGGCTGTCGCTATAAGCCGGATTAAGCTAGCCTTGTGTGTTCAGAAACAATTATTTGTCAGCCTAAAGCGGCCTTGGACGTAGGTGTGAACTCCCGTCATTCGTTTTGTACCTTAAGCTTGTCTGGTTGCACCCACTGTTAGCTATATCTATGCATATCGGTTATTGTTAATGGTACTGAGGAGACAATGCGAAATGCATGCATCTACCAGCCTCCGTCTTCTTCACGTGCTTTTCATATTGTTGAAGGGAACTAACTGCTTTAAAATCATTTAACCACAACGATATAACAGCGAAACATAAACTATCATCAACAAAATCGCACGCGTTTGAGCTCCATAAAATAAATAAAATAAAATCTCTTTGGAGTGTGCGTTTTATTTGATTGCGTGATATCTCGTCCAGCTTGTGAAGTGTATGCCGCACGGCATTACTTTGCTGTGTTTGCAAGGAAGCAATGGAATCAGAACTATGGGCTTTTCAGCCTCCATCTAGATGCATGTCACGCAGACCTAGAAAAATTCCAAGTAGATTGCTGAGTTAGCAGCAATGATAGGACGCTGATTCAACACAGTACAGCTCGACGGACTACAGTTTCCAGTCATTGCTCAGACCTAGGGTCCAGGCAATTTGGATTGCCATTGGGCATGTTGATTTTTCCACCACATCTATAGCGTTTTGCCTTAGGTAACCTAGTTGTTTATGTAAAATGGGTCCTCAGTTCTTTATTCTCGTCAGCCGCCTACATCGGTGTTTATTGCAGGTCGTCGAAGCAGCAAATGGAGCGAAACCGCAAAGTGGTCAATCGATGAGGTAGCATGAAGGCATGAATAAATTGAGAGATTTGGTCAAGTTGGTGTATGCCGTCTTCGTGGACGGGAACCTCGGGATAATCCATATCGTTGGTTGAGACTCCATCGGACTTGTAGTTGCGTAGTCAGTCGAGTTTCCGGAATCGGTTGCTAACATCCAGCTGTTCATTTTCCATCCCCTGCTTCTTTCTAACTCGGTTATCTATATGTTATGTGCGTGTGTTACTTTACCGTCGCAATAGATATGTTGGTGAAGGGAGCCATGGTAATTGGATCCACCGCACTTCGTTGTCCGTGTAGTATGCGTCCGGCTGAGGGTCCTCATGGCTTCTATGTCCCTGGGTCATAATAGACCGGAGGCGCTGAAAGGCAAAGCTACTAATTCTTAGGTGGCTGGATATTAAGTGTCGGAACTGAATTGACAGTGTGTCTGAATTATACCTCGTTGCGGTTTGGACGGCGTTGTGACAGCTGCCCAAGGAGGACAGAGCCTGAGATGACTGTAGGGCTAACATAAAAACGCACGGTAGATGGCTG